TTTTACTTTAGAAGATCATGATCATGAAGTTTATGTTCAGTTACTGTACACTTCCTTCTGCATAGGTCGACATTTCCAGCATTGTTTTTATTACCTGTAACTGTAACCGCTCTGACCATGGCAATGAGTTTTAACAATTCATGAAATGGCCTTGATTGAAGTAGTACTTTTATGTGAGTATTTTTATCTTCTGAATAACATGATTTTCTATACTGCAAAAGGTGTTATCAAACAAATTTTTCTTACTGTTCTCCATGCATATTCATCGATGGGAGTTTATTTCATGTTTTCACCGAAATAAACATTATTTCGTTTTCCCCTTAATTAGGCTTCTTTCATCGAAACAAAGTCTTGCTCTTGGTCTACCTCTGCAAGACATTACCTTGCTCGGAGGCAAGGACATTTTCTAGCTTTAGAATGTTTTCATTCTCTGTTGGTGTTCCTCGATAAAAATTAGTAGGAGTATGTCCAAGTACGTTTGCAAGTGGAGGAGATATGGTGTTTCTTTGCTTTGCTGTGTTGGTAATAGGTTCAATAGCTGGTTCACCGGTACCATTCTGCCTGTACATTAGAGAGATTTAGCACCGCGTTAACGTGAAACGTGAACGGCAAGTGTGACTTAGTTTTCCAGCCATTTTTTTTTTCACTTTTGCCGGTTGTGCTTTGCCGTTTCTCGGTGAAAGTAAACTGTTTCGCATTTTCCGTGTAGGCAAGACTTTCTTCTCTTTTTCTCTCGCAGGGTAGAAGTTAGTTCCCGAAAAAAGGACACTAACACAATAATTCGGAGCTAAAGCAGCAAGGCTCACGCTATTTTATGTGAAAGGGCAAGCTGACGTTTGCCGTTTCACGTAAACACCGTGCTAAATCTCTCTATTTACTGCTGACTTACGTACTTCTGGCCTAGAGTACTGGCTTCAATTTGCCGCTTTCATAATCTGCCTTTAGGCCTGGCGTTTGAGTGCTGTGAGGAATATCTCGAACAAGTGGAAAGAAGGCTTTCCCGAGTCAAATTAGAAATGGAAGAGAAAAGAGTGGATATGGCTGTGGAGGTGCGTAGCTGTATCAATTTTCCAACTTCTTACGTGTTTCGAGAAACTTTTACTCAAAGCCACCCTCCCATTTACACGGTTTTGCACTGGAGATGCGCTACGATTTCATCACCCTTTCGTCAATGGGCTAGAGCCGTTTGTTATTTGGAGGGCTCACTAGTAAAGTAGCATTATCACTGGAAGTACACTTTTTTTTCGTACAGATACAAGGTTGGAACATACCGAGACAACATACCGAGAACATACCGAGACAAGCGCTGAAAACCTGGGAACTTCGTCGTCCGCCAAGAAAGCAAAATAATAGGAAAGAAAAAACTATTGAGACTGAGAATCATTATTCATAATTTTCTTTTGCAAGAAATTAAGGGTGGTTAAAAACGTCTTTGTAGAATGTCCCGTTATCTTTTCATTGTTAGTCACATGTACATTCATTGCGAACTCGTCAGCTGGAGGAAATGGCACTTTGAAAAATAACCTGATTACGGTCCAAATTTTTACCTTTCCATTTGCAAAAATTTGAGCTACAATTACAAGTTCCAGTCGAAAACAATCGGTTTCTTAGAACTCAGTGTGGTTTGGTCTTCGGACGGCATGTTGAATATGTTATTGTTGTCTCTATAACATGTCCCGTGGACGTGAATCTGAGCAGCGATTGGTACAGTAATGTTTTGGTCTGGATTATCAAATTTGGTGACTATTCCGAAATTTCAAAACTAAAGAGAAAACTTGATTCAAGCTTGGAAATGATTACTGTAATGTACAAATGAAATCCAGATATCTTTCTGTTTCTACAAACATGTGCAATGTTGAATCCTTAGTCTCCCTTTATCTCTGATCAAGTTTGAAATATGATATTCTGATTCTAGCTTGTCTTCGTTTAAGTCAATCTTTTTCAGCACAAGAAACAGATGCCAGAAAAATTTCGTATTTCTTAAGATCATGAACAATTGGCTTAAAGACACTGGCATTAGATCCAGTTACACCAGAGGTTACTGAATTAAATAACAGAAAAATCTGAAAAGTACACCGGGCGTTTCCAGTCAGAGGACAACCATGGAACGCGACTTGTCGAAAGAGAAGTTAAAGAATCACATGTTCAAACACTAGTTAAAAGTGACTTGTTTTTCTAATTTTCTACGCTTATCAGAGGAAGTTGACATGTTAGAGAAAAATCGTTGAAGCAAGCAGTCATAACTGGCGATATCAAGAGAAGATATAAAAGAAGCCCGTACGATTCTTCAGTACTGTTGCACTGACTCACTGTTCTCACGTGAAATTATAACCTTCAATTGACCGATGATATCTTAACTGGAAGTCGCTTATTGTCGTTTCTTTCAAATTTCCTTAATTTCACAAACCTAAATTATCAGCCACTCAATAGAATATTCTTGCAACTGATCGTGAAATCATACTCTACGTCTGAAGCAGAAACATACCCTATTCAAGAAGATCTGTTCAAAACATCAGGAACATCAACGAAGGTCTTCACTCTTCAACTGCTTGAAAATACCGCTGACTAGCATGCATATTGATTGCTTTACAAGTTATGAGAACATCGTTCCTAGGTCCCGTAAATCCCCGCTCTGTTCCCGGACTGGTCCCTAAATCCCCTTGAATAAACTCCTCCACAGCAAGTGCTAATGATTTTCTAAAAAAAGGGAATGGCTGAATCTATGTATTAAACTGTTAAGATTCTCATCCTCTTATGGTCTGCAGAGAAAGAGCGGAATGACGTTGAGGGTCCTTTTACATACCGACTAAAATGCTTTACTTGAAATGTCACCACACCATTCATCAAGACAGCTGGGTTTGGAAGTTGCTTCGTTATCTCATCCCAACCTGCTCTTTCGTCATCAGACGGACATTCAAAGACCCTTACATCAGTAACGGAGAATCTCGTCAATTCATCTTTGTCTCCTTTTAGCATCACAGGAAGGGTTATAGTAGCTGGCTTTAAAAGGTGAGGGATTTGGGGGCACGTGATGTGAAGAACAGGTCCAGCAAACTCTTCGCAACAGTCAAACCCCTTAGAATGGATTTCTTGGACCTAAAGATCCGTAAACATAACAGAAAGGTTCTTATTAATTACAACAGTAACATCATTCAATTTCTTTTTAGCAGGGTTGGGGGAGGAGGGAATGGATAGTGGAGGTTTAGTCATCCGTAGGTGTTAACACAACGTTAGAACGAGATACCACGCGAAAAATTAATTGTTACTTCGTATTGTTTGTTCATCATGGAATTCGACATTCGTCCGTCTTTCCCTCTTTAAATCCGCTTGAACAGTCCAATCGTAAAAATTTACCCGGGAGAACAGCAGTAACCTCCTTTTCAAACAAAGCTTGGTCAGATTTCCAATGGTTTCGCAATGAGCCCAGATCAGATTATCGCTTTTAATTATTTTTCAATGAGCATAACGGGCTTCACGTGTTTTTAACCGATTGCGTTGAGAATGTCTTTAAAAAAAAAAGAAAGGAAAATAAGAAGCTGTCCATTGTCTAAATTGCTGAGCAAATATTTATTATTAAATTCTGTGTTAACATTTTCCTAGTAAGTTATTGTTATTGTAATTAGTCTGATGGGAGTGGATGACAAGTCATGATCAAGAGCGATGACGAACGCTATACAAATTTTACATCGTTGAAGAGCGTGAGTTGTCGGACTTGATCTTTCATTACCTGTATAGTTTTACTCTATTTTGGAGTTTTGAAAACTCTTCTTTTCGTGGTTCGAATATTAGACCTTAAAGGATATTGCTCATGTTGTAGTTCCTCAAAAAATTTGCATAAACAAAAGCCAATATTACAATTAACACATTAAAATCAAAAAGTGTCCGCCAGTTAGAGAATAGTAAGATGCATGGAAGAAAAAGATGCTTTTTATAACGAAAACCCATTATGGCGAACAGTTCTAACCATTGATCATTATCAAAAATCATTAAACAGATCTGAAAAACTGTAAATATTTACCTTAAAAGTTAACTCCAATTTACTTCTTCTCTGGACATTTTTTGCTGGGATTCTCACACTTACTTCTGGATACTCCAGAATGCTATAAGTGATTTCCTCATTTCCTGACACACGTGTCGAGTATATGTAAGACTTCAGGCGGTAAATGACAGCATAGATGCCACAATGGGTAACGTTAGCCTCAGCATAGGGAACCCTTAGTTTCGCAAAGTCGTCTGTAGGAAGAAAAATTAATTCTCGAATTGCGAACAGGCTTTGTCACAGGAGAGGTATGCGTAGAACAAACAATTTTCATGTCGATGGGGAAATTACACACTGCTTGTCTAGATCTAATGTGCCATGGAGACCCCTAAAGGTCCTAACAGATATGTTTATAACTATCTACGATTTGAGGACAAAAAATTAAACGAACATTGGTGATCTTAAGCTTAAGGAAAGAGTAACTACATCCGGGACAACTTCTCAAACATCTAGTACTCCCGGTTAGCTCAATGGATAGAGCGCTGGACTGTTGTGCGGGAGGTCGAGGGTTCGAGCCCCAGCCATACCAACACTCAAGGTCTCTGAATAACTGAGAAGAATTTTCCACCTTTCTATAACATCAAGAAATGGTTAGATATTCTAGTCTTCTCGGATAGGGACGAATAAATGGAGGTCCCGTCTCGTGTAGGGTTAGGGGCAGGAGACGTTAATTTCCCAC